GAATCTCCACGGGGAGGTCGTTCCATAGGGTCGGAGCTGCCACAGAGAAGGCTCTCCTCCGCGTAGTTATAGCCACTGGCATGGCAATATTCAAAGCTAAGCTGCTTTTTAAAAAAATTAAGCAACCATAAAGGCTGGATTCACACATAATGGCAGGCCATAAGGTTGGTATATTGTGTTCAGCCAAAAGTAAACTAACCATACTGGCTAATTCATTATGCCATTATAGCAATAGCACTTAGACTTATATACTCCTTCACAGTGCTTTTACAGCCCTCTCTAAGCAGTTTACAGAGTCAGCCTATTTCCCCCAACAATCTGGCTCCTCATTTTACCCACCTCGGAAGGACGGAAGGATGAGTCAACTTTGAGCCTGGTGAGATTCGAACTGCCGAAAGCAGTCAGCTGAAGTAGCCTGCATTACCACATTATAACCATTGCACCACCTCGGCTCTTTGGATATCCCTTTCAGATATTATCACAACATATTAGCAGGGGTACTTAATTTTATTTACAATATTATTATGCTGACCAATATTTGTATTGCAGAGTTGTGTTCTATAAAATTGGCACAAAGTTGTAGCAGACTTTAATGCATGAGAAAAAGAATTATGAAGGGAAACAAATATATAAGATGCTCACTCTTCCTTAACTAAGGTTAGGGGATTGAAAATACTAGGTCAGTATCTATACTTACTGCTTTTGGAGTCTGATTTAGTACTTATGGTACCATGTAATATTGGTAAAATAAACAAGAATTTGGGCAATGTTTTTCCAATATAAATGTACTGATCCGGTGTTTCCTAATCAGCAAAAAAAGTGGAATAAAAGAATATCATATAGCACCATGAAAAAGTATTGAAGCTCTTGCACTGTTTTTGTGTCTTATTCATTATTTAATGTACTAAAAAAAATCTAGGATAATAAGATGATTTGTTCATAAATGCTTCAGCATGACTTTCTGGTATTGTAACTGCATGGAACTTCTTCTGGCTTGCTTCGCATTGCATTCGAACTTTGATTTGCTCTTCTACACAGGCCATCTCAGATGGGGACCCCCAAGTAAGACTAGATATCCACAGTCACATCTTGGCAATGATTTGGAAGAAGCTGGTAGGAAGAAGCCCCTACCTACAGTCATTTCTTCCCTTGCAAGATATTCCCTCATCTCCTTGATCATCACACAAAGTATGTCTTCTCCATTCTGCTTTGCTGTTCGATTCAGGGGACCCTCTTCCCCCCTTCTATTCAGAATGCAGATGCACATGTATCCACTTTACATGCCTCCCTCCTTTAGAAAGTCACCCCCAGTTGATGACTTAGATGTCTTTCTACATAGATTCCTTCTCAAGCCAGAAGGAGGGATGACAGAACAACAGAGTTGGAAGGGACCTTGGAGGTCTTCTAGTCCAACCCCCCAACTCAAGCAAGAAACCACATCAGACAAATGGTTGTCCAATGTCTTCTTAAAATCATCCAGTTGTTGGGGCTGTCTGGAGACACATCCCACTGATTGGTCTAACACTGATAGTTTCTCCTTAATTCTAGGAGGTTGGTTCTTCCTTGATTAGGAGAGGGAATGAGCATCAAGGGAGCTTCTGGGGTTTCTGAGTATTTTGTTTCCACCAAATAATCCAGCCTCTCCTTGTGCAGTTTCCAAGTGATCCATCTAAGATGGATGGAGGGGAAGAGGGCTGGGTTTTAAAGGCTGATATTGCTGATGTTGAGGTGGTAGCTTATAGTGGCAGCAGAGAAGATAATGGTACAATTTTCACTGCTTCCTCCTTTCCTCCATTGCAAGCTTCTACTAAGGCCCTGCGGAGCATGAAGCAAGGAATGAGACAAGGTGAAATTCAAAGCCTCTTCTATCTGGGATTCAAACCCACTGCTTCTCCTGCTTGTCTACCATCATTCATGTTCAAACATGTCCCATTTTTCACTTTCTTGAGATCTCTCTTACTAAAGAAAAAAAATCTTATAGGTAGTGGTGGGATCCTCCCAATTTAACAACCGGTTCAGTGATCACACGATTTTGCATGTGAGCTTGCGCTTCACACACACGTGCAGAGTTTGAAAAAAATCTTCACTTCCGGGTTTCTTTGGAGGAGTAAGCTGACTTGCATGGCAATCTGCTCTGCCACACGAATCAGCTGAGAAGATAAAGGTAGGGAAATAGCACGGATGGAGGAGCCCATCTGATCGTCGAGGTGAACCAGTTCGCTCCCAGCTAATCATCGGAGCTACCAGTTTGCCCAAACTGATCCGAACTGGCAGAATCCCACCCCTGCTTATAAGTAGGTTGTAGGCTGCTTCCAAGACTGTAATTTTCTATTTCTGAGATCCAGTGGTGGGATTCAAATAATTTAACAACCGGTTCTCTGCCCTAATGGCCAGCTAGGTAGGTGTGACTTGGTGGTCATGTGACTGGGTGGGCATGGCCAACTCAACATCACTCACGACAATGGGCGCTTCGCCTTAGCTGTTACAATGTAATAAGGGTTAACCTGAGAGGCAGTTTCTGTAAGCAGGGCAATAAAGATTAGGCTACAAACAACACCAGAATGTTTCCTTCCTGCCTTCCTTACAGGATTAGCCCTGTAAAGTGGAAAAAAACAAAACAAGATTTCTTCCAACAACCAGTTCTCCAAACTGTTTAGAAAGTTAACAACCGAATAGGTGCAGACTGGCTGAATCCCACCATTGCTGAAATCAACTGAGAAGCCCAGAAAGAGACAGGCTGTTTTAATGAACATCAGAGAGGGGGTTGAGCTTGAGTGAATCCAAAATGTTTTCTCCAAATAGCAGTCATATTTTGAAGCTAGTACATAATCTTAGTGACCAGACCCCACAGCCCCAGTGAGCTTTCATGGCTGATGATAAGCCCCTTATTTCCAGTCTGGTAACTTAAGCAAGGTAGAGGGAGTGGAGAGTATTTCAGAATAGTCAAGATCTCAATTATGACCTCATAACTGCAGTCATGCTCCTTTTGTATAGGTATAAATATACCCAAAGAGACACGGTGGCTCAGTGGCTAAAACACTGAGCTTATCGATCAGAAAGGTTGGCAGTTTGGCAATTTGAATCCCTATTGCCGTGTAACGGAGTGAGCTCCCATTACTTATCCCAGCTTCTGTCAACCTAGCAATTCGAAAGTACATAAAAAATGCAAGTAGAAAAATAGGAACCATTTTTGGTGGGAATGTAACAATGTTCCGTGCACCTTCAGCATTTAGTCATGCCAGTCACATGACCACGGAGACATCTTGGAACAGTGCTGGCTCCTCGGCTTTGAAACAGAGACGAGCACTGCCCCCTAGAGTCAGGAACGACTAGCACATACGTGCGAAGGGAACCTTTACCTTTACCTTAAACATATCCAAAGGACTTCAACCATATCACTTTTTTGACTTTCCCTCTGGACACTCCTAATTTCCCATTTCTATTCCACACGGTTCTGTTTTCTTAGAGAGGAAAAGATATTTGGTTGTCCTGCAAACAAAAGGTTATGTGTGGGGGTTATGTGTGGGGGTGTGACTTCTCAGACAGAAAAAAACTTTTTGATCTGAATTTCAGATCTACTACAACTTGAACAGATGATATGGGGCAAGAAGTCGCCAAATTTCAAAACGAAGTGAGTTTATTTTGTTTCAATCAGACAACTCACTGGGATCCACGTACGCCCAAGTGGGATGGAGAGGGACATTCAGGGGGGGAGAAAAGGCCCCCGCTTTCATCCCTTCTGCTGAGGTTGCCTCTTCATAGGTTGGTGGCACTGCGGGGGCACTGGGTTCCTTTCGTTCGGCATTTCCTTGCTGCCCTTCAGGATTTGCAGGCTTGTTGTTCACAGAAAGCTGCAAAAGGGAAAGAAAAAAATAAATTATTTTTTTTAAAAAAGAATAATAATAATTTTTTCTTATAAATTTTACATGGGGAGAGATGGAGAAGAGAATCAAAAGCAGATGAGGTCCAGGGTTTGAGGTACAGGTAGTTATCAACTTACGACCGCATTCGAGCCCAGAATTTACGCTGCTAAGTGAAAAAAAATTGTTAAGTCAGTTTTGCCCCCATTTTACAACTTTTCTTGCTACATTTGTTAAGTGAATCACTGCAATTGTTAAATTAGTAACACGGTTGTTAAATGAATCTGGCTTCCCCCGTCACAAAAGATGATCACATAAATGTGAGTCAGTGGTCAAGCATCCAAATGTGAATCACATGGCCATGGGGATGCTGCAACGGTCATAAATAGTCGTAAGTCACTGTTTTCAGTGCTGTTGTAACTTCAAATGGTCATTAAATGAACAGTTGTAAGTCGAGGACTAACTGTATATGTGTGGGTGATAAACCTCTTAGCCTGGAATAAATGCAGGCGAGGGATGCATGAGCAGAAACCTTTCCCCCTGTTTTTCTGACCTGCTCTTGATTTCCCTGCCCTTCCCTCACTTGATCGATCCATCATACATCTTCTTACATGGAGGTTTACAATAATCAATCTATGTCTTGTCTTTGGAATGGGGAGCCTTAATGCCCACAGTGCATTCTGCAAGAATGTCCAGAGCAATATTGTATTAATTTATCTACATTGCTTCAAGCATTCCAGCAGAATGCACTGACTACGGGCATTAAGAGTGGGCATTCTCAAGACAAGACACAGTCATATGATTTGGTGTTCAGTGATGCTCTTCCTTTCCTGGCTTAGAGCTATTCAGGCCTATTGCTTCTGGAGCTGTAACATTTGAGAAACATCTCCTGCATGGTAAGTTCTAGCTTCTCTCGCTCCTCAATCTCAATTTCTCTTTTGTTTTCCTTAGTTACTTGTTATTTTTAAGAAAAAATCCTCTGGTGTATTGAAAATCCCTGAAATCATCTAGGTTAGTAATGCACAAAGTGGTTCACAATGTACAGCAGCTGCTATATGTCTGGATCTCAAGCAAGTGATCTTCCAAGCAGTGGTGGGATTCATTTTTTTTTTTACTACCGGTTCTGTGGGTGTGGCTTGGTGGGTGTGGCTTGGTGGACATGGCAGGGGAAGGATACTGTAAAATCTCCATTCCTTCCCGATCAGCTGGGACTCTGGAGACAGAGAATAGATGGAGTTGGGGCCAGTCAGAGATGGTATTTACCGGTTGTCCAAACTACTCAAAATTTCCGCTACCAATTCTCCAGAACTGGTCAGAACCTGCTGAATATCACCTCTACTTCCAAATCTAAATTGGACTTGTAATTTTAGCTTCAGACAGGAAACAAGCCTAAATTCAAGATACTTCCAAAGGAGAAGATTAAATTGAAATAACAACCCTGTTTCCATTGCTGAGATTATCAGGAATGACTGTCCTATTTTACAGATATTTTATATATATATATCTCGCCTTCCTTTCAAATAAATACATTATTTCACCTACTGCTGACAATATATCACCATGAACAAATACTGACTGAAATCAAATATAGATATTTACAGTAGCTTCTTTCTCACTACTACACTGTACCTTCTGGAAACAAAACTTTTCATAAGATTCCTTGTCAATTATTTCAGCCAACAGCAGCTGAATGAAGGCACATAAATCATGAAACTTGCAATTTATTTATTTTATTTTTTAGACATAATTCATGTCTTTCTTCAAGGAGCTCCTGAAGCTTTTATTAAAGAAAGGCCAAATCTGGTAGATATTAGTCTCCAAATAATGCCCCAAGTATCATAGTGTCCATGGGTACTTTTCAAAAAATAAATTAATGCCTAAACTTATACTGAAATATACCACATAGACTCATAGATAAGGCCACCTCTGGATAAAACATCTCTGGACTTTTTAACCGAAATACCATTTGAAACACACCAGTAATGGATAAATTTTAATTTGCACAATTGGTTTATCTGTCAGGGATGATGATGCTGAGATGCCTCAAAGAAAAATGTCAGCCTCCAAGATCATCTTAATCCCCCCCCCCAAAAAAAACCCAAACCCACCTCTCAATCATAGACACTGTTTTAGGAAACAAAATGAAAGAAAAATAGTCTAGGGCTTGCTTTGGGGGAAAAAAAGGCTTTAGGCCAAGAAAATAACAAAAGAAGGGGTAGTGTGGAAGATTGTGCAAGAATAATTGGAGGGGGGGTATCTGATAATCTACTAAATGGCAGCTTTGCGGGTGTATATATCTCCAAAGGCAGCTATTTTATGACTAAATAAGCTTCCCAAGCATCAATTCTATTATTATATTAATTTAAACAATACAGCTAAAAGACGAACGGAGGTAGAGGCAAGAATCTTATATTGCCTCATCAGTATCTACATTACAATAACACGGTTAAAATCAGCTTATTATATGAATGTCAGAATAAAACTGCTGTTGACAACTGTCATTTAATTTGTGAAAGTGCTCGTATTTTAATTTCCTAGATTGCTTTTAGTATTCTATGAGAGACTTAAAAAGTTGAACAGATTGGATTGCAAAATTCTGTTGCTATAAAGTCATAAGAGTCTTTTCTTCTATTCCTCCTTTCAGAAAGCCAACAGAAACCAAGAGAATGTCATAATGTGTCTTATAGGTTGGCCCAAAAAGGGGTTCTCTGCATATAACTGAACAATTTCCAGTTTAGCTAAGGATGTTGGGAGTTATAGCTCAACAAAGCCTGCTGGGAAACACACAAATGACCTGATTCTTCAGCCAGTCCAAAAATGATCCTTGGATAGCAAAGCCACACACCCATATATTTCTCAAAATATAGACAATGCTCCTTGATATCTCCAGGGTAAATAACTGATTCAAATTAGAAATCCCTGTTAATCTCAATCAGACTTCAAACCTACCCTGTTTCCCCCGAAATAAGACCTCCCCGGATAATAAGCCCAATAGGGCTTTTGAGTGCATGTGCTAAAATAAGCCCTCTCCTGAAAATAAGCCCTCCCCCAAAATATTGCAACACAGCAGCAGCCATGAGGTGACCATGCTCGCCGCCTCCTGCACCTAAAAAATAATAAGACCTCCCCGTGCTTATTTTGGGGTGGTCAAACAAAAATAAGACCCTGTCTTATTTTGGGGAAAACACGGTAGTACTAAGTCTGCCTAAAGTTGTAAGCTTGTCATTCAGTTTGAGTTAAGTCACTACTGTCCATCACCTAGCATCTGCATAAAGACAGACAAAGCTTTTGATTGCATAAAGCCTCCCTGTAGCCACTTTCAGCCATGAAATGACAAATTCTGTATAGATTATGATAATTAAACACATTTTGGCTGAACAAGATGAGGCAATCAGTAAATATTCAGAATCAGAAACGCAACAAGAGGGTAGCCCAGAACTGCGTCATTGTGGTGCTGCTGAGGCAGGGATGATATAATGCAAAGGAACAAGCTCTTGGACACACACACACACATACCCTGGTGCTCACCAGGATTACAATATCCAAAATTCCCTTTCAGCAGACCCTTCGGGGATTGTAGTTCCATAACATCTGGAGGGTCTCAGGTTGACTAAAAGAAGAGTTGGAAGGTGGGAATTGGGAAGAACCGTGAATAGAGATTGTTGCCAACACACACACAAAAAGAATCTCTCCAGCCAAAATGACCTGCTTTTGTTCAGTGAAGAACACACACTATCATTTCATATCCCTCCCAAATGCCATGGGTAGCCAGAGGAATGCAATTTGAATCCACAATTTCAACACCCCCCCCCAGACACATTCTGTTGCCCAAGCCAAAGTTACCTAATTCCTCTTCTGCATATTATGACCCTAAGTAATGTTACTGAATTGTTGATTTGATAATGTAATAGGTTGAATTATTTATTTTTAAAAGAAGAAAATGATACATTGTTGGACATCTGCAAACCGGTATATATCTAGCCCAAGGATTGAAAACAAATTTAAAAATGAAAAAAGAAAACATAGAATTCAGCATATCAGTCCAAAAATGGATGTTTGCTGCTGAATCCATAATCTGCAGTTCTCTGAGTGAAGACTTATGCTGCTTCCTGAATTACAGGTTCTGGATTTAGGATCTGATGCCTAGTCCTTGTGACATCCCCAGTGACAAAGTTGGGACTCCCGATAAAGGAGCACCTATAACTTGCAACCAACAGGATTTTTAGACCATTATTAAATACACCATTCATACTATAATTTGCCATCCAGGAATCCTAATACCAATCAGGGGCTAAAATTCAACATTCAATTAGATGCTATTGCTAAGTTTCCAGGGCAACAGATTTTTTAATTGGGGGAGAGAGGGGACCAAAGCAAGCATAGAGAAATTGCATCTCTTATGGATTCGGAAGTCACTCCCTCCCCGCCTTTCCCTGCTTGGGGAAATAAAGATGCTATATGGTTTATGAGTAGTCTAAATTAGGGTAATTTTTTTCTAGGGCTGCTGTGAAACTTAATCTTGATGGGAGAGTAGGGAGACAGGGCAATCAGCCCTGTATTAACTGAATAATTTAAAAAATCTCTTTTCCATCTGTATACACCCAGCATCCAGAGAAAGCAGATAGCTTACAAGCCCTCCAGATAAAGAGAGCGATGGGAAATTGGCAAATCGACTAAAGAGGTCATTCAGCCACGTGAATGAAGGCACAGGGTCCTCGTCCAGTTTGAACCTACCTTCCCCTGCGTCATCTTTTCCCCTTCAGTGACGCTCCTCACTCGGCTCGAATAAAGCCCCTTCAGGGAGGAGGAATGGAGGGGAGGCAATTCAGTCTCCTCTTTGAGCAGCCAGCTGGGTTGCTCTCACGGGCGGTCTCCACTTCTGCTTTTGCCGCAGCCTGCGAGGACTTTCCTACGTTCCAGCAACCTCTAGAGCATATCTCCCCTCCGATGGAGCTGGGGCGATACCATTGCCCAGCTTTTGAACGGGGGTGGGGTGGGGGTGATACTGAGGAGAGCAGGCTCAGCCAAGGAAGAAATAGAGGGGGGGGGAGTCGTTGTTATTATTTATTTATTTTTAAAGGCTTTTTCTGGGCCCGGTTTTGCAGAATCGCAGTGCGAAGGTAGAACCCGGTGGATGCCAGGATGCAGGAGACGGTCGAGGTCCAGCATTTTGCAGCCGGAACTGGAGGGGAAGAGGCGATGATGTAAGGAGTGAGATGAAATGAGATGCGCAGAGAGGCACCGCTTTCCTGTGTTACTAACAGCAGCCTAGGGAGCAATTGCCAGCACAGCCCCGGGGACTATTAGATTTCTCTGGCACATAAAAAGCTTTGCTCATCAGAGGACAGGGGAGAGATCCCTGTTGCTCTGCTCAGTTCAGTAAATATCCCTTTCTCTCACACAGACCAGCTGATTCCTTTGGAGTCCTTTTTAAATGTTACAGCTACATTCATCTCCTTTTATTTGTAGAACCGCAGGTCAATTGCTTTGTGGCCTAGATTCATCACCAACTCCTTTCAGGCAACCTTCACTGGGACTCACTTCCAATCCCTTAAAGTGCATTGCTTATTTTATTTATACAATTGTAATGGCCAGCCATTACAATTGTATAAATAAAATAAGCAATGTACTTCATGTACATTTATGTACATTTAAGGGACGTGGTAGCTCAATGGCTAAGATGCTAAGATTGTCAATCAGAAGGCCCGCAGTTCGAATCCCTAGCGCCACGTAATGGAGTTAGCTTAAGGTGACCAGATTTTCAGATTGGTAAAGAGGGACACCTTTGACCGGGGTGGGGGGGAGGGCTTGATTAAAAAATTTATACGGAGCAACAAAAATTTTCATACAACGCAAAAATAGT